TATATATATATATATATATACGCCTATCCTTGTAAAACAAATGAACCCATTTCACGCCGTTCATCACTTTTTCTCCTCCCCTCAACCCCAATGCGTTCCATCACATGCATTACGTGGCCTGTTGCTGATCAGTGGTCAAACAGCAATAAGAAAAATCCACTGATTGTGTATTTGTGGAAGGCTGAATGGCAGCATCGCTCTAATCCATGATTTCGGCCTGGTGGTTCGAGGGAGTGGCGGTATGAGGGCAAGCAAAACACTTTCTCAAAGCGACACTCAGTTGACCAGACGTGAAGTGATCCAGAATGAACATTTGATATGTTCCCAAAGAAAAGACCAAACCATATGTTATAAGACAAGTGGAATAAACATTTTGAAGGGCAATACATTGTATTCCTCAGTATTTTTTCTGTTGAGGACCAGTCTGGATCGCGATGTTTTCTGCGAATCGGATGAAATCGGTCGAACTATGGAGTATTGTTGCTGTGTGTTATAACAAACGGATAAATGTGAATTCGCACATAAAACTACACAGGTTAATAGTCTAACTCGTGATCACATACCACACAAAAAAACGTGAATTGATCGAGTACACCGAAGAGGAGGACATGAACGGAACGGGCGACATAGACCGGGCTGGCTGGTAATTGCCGCCACTTGTTCCGTTGGTCTCTGTAATGGTGTTGTCACTGCCGGCTGTTGCTGCTGCTGATGCTTCCGCAACATGTGTGCATCACAGGCACATGAACGATTGAGGACATGCTTCAGTACACTCCATCCATCGCGTTTCGTACTAATACGTTCATAAACTGAGCGGACTAGGACTCAGATCAAGCGCAAACAGACAGATGCGTGGCAGCTTTGTAAATTCGCACACGAGCCAGAACAACGCCTATCATTCGGGTGATCGAGCTGGAACAAAATGATCCCAAACACCCAAATGTGCATCGATCTAATGGTAAAACTAAATGCAAATGTAGCAAATAGAATACCATGATGTCGACTTATTTCAAAATCCATCATGCAACGGAATGACTTGATCCAATATCGGTTTGTCGTTCGGTGACTGGATACTGCACGAAACGACCCCCCGATCACATACACACTCGCCACGTGAATACTGCCACTACCTGCTGTGGTGGGTCACTCAAGAAAACCTCAAACACTGATGAGAAAAAATCTACAATCCGGAACTAAGAATAACATTTGAGATAAAATATAGCATGACATGTTCGGCATCGATATCTGGCAACAAATAGTGAGCTTCCGGTGTGGCCGCTAACATTTTTCTGTTTGGATATAGCAGGTTTGCTATGAATCCGAGTAACAGTAAAGCATCCTGGCAACCAGCACGTGTTTAAAGGTGCTGCCTGCTAGAGAGGGGATAACAGTTTATGGGAGTTGAGTCCCAGTGTATCAGAAACCGATGTGCTCAATGTCTAAATTGCAAACTGCTGAATCTTACTCGTAATGTCGGCAACGAAACCTGTCCAATACAGTATATTGGGAATAAGTTTTGGCCCCTCCAGAAGCATGCACAATATAGGCCGGAATTCATTTCATCCGGATACCCGTGTAGTAATGGACTCAGCAATGAGGAAAAAGGGAAATCAATAAATTCTCCGCCTACACATGAACAAAGATATTCGAACGAAGGATTATGACGACGCATTACACGAAACTAATAGTGATCTGTACAATACGCAATCCACGTTTCTTTTTCATTGCAACGCGAAATAGATATTTCTTTGCTTTCGGTTCCTTGACGAGACAGCGCAACTGCAAGTGTGCTCACCAAAAAACGCCAGTTGCAAGAAAAACAAAACAATTTATAATGTTTGCCTACTCATGTCATGGATTTCACTGAAAAAATCATTGGATTATCAATGTGTGTAATCGACTGAAATAAACAGTAAATTGATGAGATTCAATTTTTTAACAGTTTTGGTGGAGAGAGTTGATCAGGATGGGGCTTTACTGCTCTGAATGAAGTAGACGTGAAGCATGAAATGAATATCGCATGTTTTGAACGGCTAGGCTAAAAAAATTTAAGTTAGGTCGATTGGTATTCGAAAGGTTCCTAGCCTCGTTAGGATTCGAACCCATAAAAGTATGAAAAGATCAATGCTACCGATGTGGTCCCGAAGCTCATTATTCTATTTGATACCTCAAACTTTACGGTTTTGTGATCTCATTCCTGCCATCATATAAAATTAACTGTGGAAAATCAATAGAAGGAACTAAGATATAGTATGTAAATAGTGCCTTGAGTTCGTGGTGATGGACATATCAACATAAAGCAAAAATTACATGAAAACGCCGGTGTTATTCGGGATGAAGTTCATGCATAAACCCTAGTATTAGTTGGGACTACAGAATATGAATACTATTGGTATTGCTGTATTGTATTACATCAGATGGCTTAAACCTATCCAGTGCAATGCTCAAAGCCGCACCCGTGGCAGTTAAAGCATTAAAAACCAGAACTTTAAGCAATGTTCTAGTCTAACTATTCGCTACTATACAGCTCATTGCTATCAATCGCTTTCGTATTTCAGATATTGCTGTTCCCATCCGGTTTACACAAAACACCAAGTATCCGAAAGTGACCAAACAGCGTGTGTTAGCGCACTTTGAACGTGACATTTCTCTCTCTCTCTCTGTATATCGAACGGCTACAGCATTCGCTCAATCGTTGATGAACAAACCGATATTAAATCGATAACACGGACAACTTAGGAAGCAGAATTTAAACGGACTTCCGATACCGAAACCGTGCCAATTTATATACCATGTCAATTTGTACGTGACCGATCAAATTGATCTATGGATCACATATCCTTACCATAATCGATCGCAGTGAATGGTTAAGTAAATGATAGTGCTTCGAAGAGATCGATAACCACGATTTCACTGATATAGAGAATTCGAGCATACGTATTTGATTCGTAAAGTTAACTCACCTTACAACGGTCGAAATATTTGAACGTTTGAAACCGTGTTTATCTATGTAACCACATGAAAATTTCTTTTGCTCCAGGAGAGATAATGGTTAATTTTAATGTCTTTTTACTTTCCTTTTTTGCTTATTGAATATATAAATGCACAGTCAACATTACACGGCGGTCGTAATGGACAATAATCTTAAGCACGTGCGATAACTACCCTCTCCTCCGCTTATGGTATCCCTGTACCCTAAATCAGCAGCTTACTTGCTGATTAGCATATTTATTGCGAAATTCCCCGGATCTCGCCGCAATGTATCTATGTGATTTACATTCTTCCGTGATTGAATTCTACTGGAAATAATCTTAGAATATTTGACTTACTGCGTACAGGTAATACCTTTTGGTTTCCCTGAATGGATAGTGTACGATTCAAGCTGCTGATCACACAAACTCTCGTCAACAAAGTCGTTCACTGATCACATGCTGAACGTGTTAGATCTTTCATTTCCATTAGACAAATGCGTATTTGATCATGAAGAGAATGAGCCAATTTGTCTAATGTGATAAACTTCAGAAATCAGAGACGAGAAAAGAGAACATGATATGGAAAAACCAGAGAGTTAAATATACGAAACGTGGTGGCTTCGCCAAATTTTTAAAAAGCAATAAATTTGGAATCAAAGCAGCCATCATTGGAGGAGGATGGCTTACAGACCCAATCGATTTCCACCCGGATCAAGGATCGATTATTCCGTTTCTGGCTCAACTCTTAGAACACAGTTTCTCTCTGGGTTGTCGGACACCCTTTATATGGGTACACTTTGAATAGTTACAGTTGGCGGAGAGGATTGAGGTAGGCAGAGGAATGATTTGTGAGGTATGACCAAATGGAAACCGCAGAGGCATATTGAGTAAAACAATCCAAACGAAAAAGCCACCACCTCAATATTTTTGGGGGTCAAGTCAAGTTCTGATGGAGTGAATTTCCCCCGGTGATGAGGAATGTGCACCTATTTTAACTACTCCGTGATTCAGGGTGATTTTCTGATCATCATGTAAAAAATCCAAATGGTTTAGTGACCCAATTTGATGTCATACATCAGAGGATACATCACTCCTGTCTTTCCTGTCGAACAGCCAATTACTGTTTATTCGCATACTGAAATCTGTGCTCATTCGAAGACACGCCATGAAGCGAAAATCCATGGGCGCAGGTGGTCAGTGATCGAACAGCTCCAACAGGCACACACGGCTCATCTGCACAGTTGTTCACCTGTGGTCATCCAGCCCTGGGGTCCCCCGTTCAACCTGGGAACGAATGACGATCGGCCTTCATCCCCGACCGCGCCTCATTCCCGAACTCCGCCAGTCGCCAGACTTGAGATTGTGCACAACACGACAGATGGGACCGTACACGATCGAAACTCACACACAGAGAGACCTTTTGTATCATGAACGGATCAGCAGAGAGCCGGATTGCGTGAGTACTCAAATTCTATTGGGGTGAGGCGGAAACTTCGCCCTATGACGTCAGGAAATGACAATATGGCAGAAACACCACGATCTGGTAGAGCGTTCGAGCGTGCTGAGTCGAATGAACCGAGAATGCGAGGGCAACAGTGGAACCGCCCACAATGTGCCAGGACACAGCTCAAACTATAGTGATGACTGCCGAAACAATTTGCCTCATGTTTTAGATGACCGAAATTCAAACCGGCACTTTTATCAACATCATCATCATCATCGTACAGCAAGATAAAGAGAAGTGAACTTTGCTACTGGCTGTCAAGCTCTTTTATCAACGGAGTGCATCCTGTATAACTGCCACCATCGCAATTGAGATATTTCTATTTCGGTCATTCCGAGACCAGATAATAACTGTGATGTAATCTGAAACAATAGACTATCGTATTTTGCACTTGCACCTTTTAAACAAGACTACCATCCGTTGAGTTGAAAGCAAAAACCTTGACAAGAGATAGTTTTAGATGAGTGACAGTTTCCAATGACTTTAACCACCTATAATGCACTGTATTTATAGGTTCTCCATTGATAGACATAGGGGGCCGGGGGAATAAAGCAGAGGGCGAGAAAGTTCCAAGGATTGATGGATCGTTTCGGTCATTTGTGATACACGATCGGCCAGTTTAAAAGCACCCGCCAAGTGTGACCACTGAATATATCCACTTCTGGTTGACTTACTAAATGTGTGTTATGAACTACTCAGACGCTCAAAATATATCTACTTTGCTAGGCAAAAGTTTCGACTGGTAGATTCACTGCACCTTCTTTTTACGTATTCTACATAATAAATAGCTGTAAATTGTTGACAAACACCAATCTCCTAGGTGTAGTGAAAAAAATGAAGTGGTCCTTGTAAATTGTCTTAGTGATGGAAATGTTTATGATAACCAGCAAAGAGCACTGGACAGCTGTTTCGTCCTGTTTGATACTCTAAATGTCTTAGTGATGTTTGAAATACAAGTTTATGAAACTGTCGTTGCAGAATGATGAATTGGGCAGAACCAGCTACTCCTCTACACCTACTGGCCTAACATGTAGTCCGAGAACGCGAATCCAACTGGGCGTGAAGCTAGTCTTATTGTGCGTCCGACACCATTCAGTTTGGAAGCATAAATGTCACAGTCCCAACGACGTGGTGGCATTAGAATCCGGAATCAAAATTCATACATCGGTTGCCAAGCTCTTTGGAGGTTTAAAATAGGAAAGGGGGGTTTGTACCACGCCAAGTGTAAGAGCTAAATTTGCCGGTTCTTATCACCCCCCTCACTCACACACATTCCCGTAGTCACGTTATTTGCTCATCCTATTTTTCTAACAGTTAAGATATGCAACAACTCTCTATTCTGCGCTGAAAAAGATTTGCAGTTTGACGATCATAATTTCACCGCAACAGTTCCGCTGAACGGAATCAATGAGAGTGACTCGATCAAATCGCATAAGGCCAAAATTCATCGCGTTGTGTTAGGCGCATGATTTGTCGAATCGACGGATCGGCACGTGACTACACTTACTTGCGTCTGGGTCAAACCGAGTTGTGCGGCCAAACTGGCTCGTTCGGTCAAATTCAAGTATTGGGATTGCACAAAACGACGATTGAGCAATTGCAACTGCCAGATCGAATAGATGGTTCTTGGTTTGCGTAACTTTTTATTCCGCAACAGTGGACTCTCACTGCTGGTGTCAGTCAGACCATCGTCGTGGGAACCGGAAATCCCAAAAGCGAAATTGATTGGATGATTTGGTGATTCGTCTGTAGGACAAAAATAAAATTGAGAGAATCGTAAGGGGGGGAGGAATGTAAACACTAGATTTTGCAAATCAGAAAAAACAGTCAAAATGTCGTGGGGTTTTTAGTTTACCGAATTTGATTTCCTATCCCAGACTGAGCCTTGTAAAAATGGAACACCACGGTGCAGACCATGTTATGCACAGTGCAACTGAGATTACAGTAATTGATTGAGCCCGTTTCGATTTCATAAATCAGGCAATGAGCTTGGACTCAAGTTTGAAAAGCAATCAGCATCCAATTGAGAATTTACTCCCAACGGTGTCAAGAGATATAGGTGATACCTACGCAAGTAAAGACGTCACTTTTTGGTTAACTTCTTGACTTTCATTTGTAACAAAAATCAGAGTCAAAGCAATTGGATCGTTTGTTGCTTTTTGTGACTAAAATTGGCTTCAGTCACTGAATTCCCCAAACAAACAAAATAATATTTAGAGGTTTAGACTGTTTTGGCGTCTAGGTAAGAGTAGTACTACGTATGCGTCCATTCAACCATTTGTACATGGGTTACTCCTAACCGAATTGGTGGTAGACAGCTCAGTTGTCGTGCGGTGCAACGCCACGCCCATTCTGCTTGTACAGTGGTCCAAGTCAAGGGCCCATGTGCCCAGTCCCGTTTCCCGCACAGTTCACCCCGTTTGCAGTGCGCGTGGGATGAAAGAGATTTGTCCACTGGGAAAATTGTTGGTTGATTTATCCTAAACTAGGGAAAAGGGAGACTGGCTACGGTACATGATGGTGTTCATCGCCATGTCACCTGTTGGACTTATTTCAAACCAATGAATGTCAGTCGGAATGACCAGAGAATTATTGACAAGCAAAAATGAATGTAGACATGCAAACTGGATGAAAGAATGCCGGCATAACATATGACCATGAGATCAGCTAGTGTAATCATTATTTTCGATCTAAACGACTACACTGAGGTGGGTGCGGCAGCATGTCGTTCAATCTGAACCCGATTCCCCCATCAAACCTCTAAAAGCATAAATACTTATGAACAGTTCAGATACTGCACTCAACGAACACAATAATTTCACCATATGCTTAAATATCAACATCTGTGTGATTTCACTCGCGAATCTGTGAAGCTGTATTGTGTATTTTGATATGCAACAGCAAAACAACACACAGGGTAGGAAAAAGCCGGATTGAAGATATTGACTCCAAAACATGTAGATAAAAAAGTAGACGGTCAGACAGTAAACCAGACTGCTAGATCGCGTTGGATTCCGAACCAGACTAGCAACAATCATTGGCATTCTATTTCCGTGCAAACGGAGCACCACCACCCCCCACTGACAACCGGACAGCTGTTTCGCCTGCCCTATGCCAACCTCCGGCCTGCCTGCCTGCCTGCCCTACATGGTGTCGTGAATCCGAGCCATCGTACATAATTATGGGTTTCACAATTTCCGTCTCTCGGTTGTCTTCGCTTGGCGTGAGTCCGCACTACTCGTCCGCCCTCCGTCTTACCGACAAATCGACGAGTTGACTGACGAGCGTATCGAACGCAGAACACACACACAAGGATTGATGTACGTACAAACAGATGTGTGCTGAGCAAAACACCACTGTACACCCCGACAGACCTCCGCGCAGCCCCCCTCCACCTCTATCTTCCTCTCTCGCTGCAGTCGAATACCAATCGATATCATCTTCAAGATGTGATCGATCGACTCAACGAGGCAGATGCAGTAATAGAAGCGATTGCAACCACTGCTTCGACAGTCCGAGCGCAGTTGGACCCCTTGTATTCTGACTGATGTCAACCTCGTATGCCAGGCATAGCAACCACTATCCAACAGCCCATAGTTTCTTTTCGAGGGCCCGCAGTTGAATCGCAGCCTTGGAGATGGGTAGGGTACAAGGCCAAGTAACAGGTTATCTCATTGCAGAAGGGCTTGAGAAAACCAAGTAGCACACCAAATAGGGGCGCTCGTGTTCAACGAGATGGTCATGCTTGCTTGTTCATGAATGCATATTATTCAACACAACATGACTGGGATTATTATGAGAAACCAATAGGGCAGGGATGTGCAGTACAATGTGAATTACCGTACCTAAACGGCGAGAGTTCAGAACTCTGCTGGAATCCAAACTGATCGGATTCAGCTCGGGTTTTATTGAAGAGATGGCGCAGTTTATCGATGAGCCAAAGTATACACTGATAATCTTCTTGGTTCATCGACCTGCAAGGACACCAACTTGGGGCATACTTTCATATTTTTTGATGGATCAATGCAATGGGAAATTTGAATTTGAACAAGGCTCGATCTCGTTTATCCCCCCCCCCCGATTAAAATAGAACGTACTTTGTCTGAGGTATATTTTAAGTGAACCGTCGAGTGTTTCCCCTGTCAAACCATTTACCATGATTCCGATTTCAGAAAATTCAGTAGAAACTTCTTATACTTAAATGATTTTTCCAACCCAATATGCACCAAACTGAATTTCTCCAACTGTATTTACAGCCTCTCGCGCCTTCCTTTTCTGTTTTCGTTTTGCTGAGCTTGAAATTTCGATTCAGAGTTTGTTGTGTCAAGTAGCTGAGGGTGAACTTGGTTCCAAGCCCATGATCAGCTTTTCATTGTGATTATGGTGTTAGTAAGCTGTTCACCTTTTCGAATAGGCAAAATTCAGGAGTTCAGAACACTACTGCCGGTCAATTCCTAGTTTGTTTCTCTGCGTCTCTTCCTATTGTCATATTGGTCTCGTGCGACTTTCCCTGTGGCTAACTGAAACGGGAATTGTACTTTGAAGACCGAAATCATCAGTCATCACACCCTTACAGTGAAACTCTCCTGACCAAACCTGACCTAACCCGTTCACTAAACGCCGTCAGACTGTCAGTCTCACGGGTCCAACAGGTCAGAATTTTGAAAACTTCCCACTAGCATAAACGAGCATGAAACTCCCCTGTATCTCAGATTCTGTCATGTACATGGAAAAGGAATACCTGAAAAAGTTAAACAAACTTGACTGGTTTACAACCTTGTTCGCTTTTATCTTCAATTGTGTGCCTTCCATCCCTCCCCGCAGCACTCCCAATATCAAATCCGACTGAAATGTAAGCACATCGCTCGCAAAGATCCATGTCCGTTTGCTTCAGATAACGGTTAAACATCAATTGTTATGACTAAGTTGAGTTCGCTGTTTTGGTGTTTATTCTTTCTCAGATTGACAGGGGGTGAGTGAGAATAAAGAATACGACACTGGTACACTGACTCTTGGGATGGAATGGAACACCCTCCCCCTTTCGGACCTTACAACATGCTTATATTTAAACGCATAATTAACAAACTGGTTCGAGCTTAAATATTCCCTTCCACATCGCAAACTTGGTTAATGGGGTTTGCCCTTTTACTGTATTTACTTCGGTGCGTTAAAAGAAAATGGTTGCAGAAATCAGGTTTTGATTAACGGCACTTTGTAAAAGTTCATGAAGAATTCAAATTTCAATACTTCCCCTCTCCCCGAAAGATTTTCGTTTATAGTTATTTTGCATCACCGATGATAGCATTCATACATGATGCCTCGTGTGCGTACCAAAAAATGGTCTTGAGCGCATCACACACAATTTTCAATAGACCAAAGGGTAGGAGAAAGAGGTTGAATGAAGAGAGAGAGCTAGGTTAAGCCCCGTACTCCTGACCAGTGACTAAAGTCACTGGTCCGATTCCGGAGAACGGGTTCATTCCAAAATGCTCGAGACTTTTGTCCGCCGACTTCAAGTCCCAAAAAGGTCATCTTACCACACCCATGTGTCGAGCACTTTGAACTTTCGGTAAAAACTCGTGTTGCCAACCTACAAGCACACGCCTGTTGCTATCTAGTCCGTTCATTCCGCCGGCTCTTCCTCCCCCCCTCTGCACCACCACCACCACCACGTCCTCAACCTAGAGCAACCACAGACACTATGGCAACTTAACGTGAACGAAATTTCGAACTCATGGTTAGAAAAAGATGGGTGACATCATCATCATTGTGACTTGAGGGATGAGAACAGTTAACAATCCTCTCACCACCGTTATCAACCTCATCGCGTCACCACCGCCACCACCAATTAATCTCACTACGACCGCGATTTCTCTAGAGTAATGGGGCGAACAACTCGATACTAGCAACCAAGACAAACCCTACAGGTGATCTTTTGTTTTGTTTTGACAAGCCAAATGAAACCAAAACTGCCCCCTATCTTGAATGAACGAACCGAAGTTGGAACAAAGATTTTGCGGTGGAGTCGCACACCGGATTATCTAATTGTCTCTCCGATATGCCAAAAACAACAGATAACCGAAAACTTCATTGAATTGATCAAAAATTACGGAATCTATCTATTCTGAGGAGTGATATACTGTGAGCATCGAAATGTCACGAGAAGTGGACGATCAAGTTCTGGATAGAAAAACTAAAATAACTTGCTTTTTCAAGACCATTAGAACAGAAATGGGAACTGGCAGTCTGTTGGATGTTACTTTTGTCCGAAATTTACGAAATCCAAAATGAATCGTGAACTTCCCCAAGGAGCCAATCGAGTATTAATTTTGTCATTTAGGAATTTATATCAAATTATGCATTGAAATCAAACGATACAATGATCTGGGGAACTCGGAGATAGACCCATTTCATTGGGTACCTTTTGCCGGAACAGTGGCTTGTTTCACAGTTTTTTCCCCCAGCTTCATATGCCGACGATCATCTGAAAAAGGACGCATGATAAAATCTACTTGAGGAAGAGCCTACCTACCGAGCCTCTCTTCCGTTGGTTAGGAGTTTTATTATCCCGAACCTTCAGATTGTTAACCCTTTCATTTATTACAGGATAATGAGATAGGATTTGAATTTCATCGTGTAAACAGTCAGATTTGGAATGTTTCCAACCGACGCATAGAGATGAGACGAGCAAGGTGTGATGCCCGCAACATGCTTGCACGTTTGGATTGTTATACTATGTAGGAAAAATGGAAAACTGTCTTATCAGCTGCCCAGTAGGCGAGCGGGTAGTATGCTAGCGAGGTCCCCGGTTCGATCCCCAACAGGATCGATGGATTAGTACTACTGATGGAACCAAATCAGGTCAAAGCAGCTATCCAGTGCTTCTCAGCTTCCCAGTTCACGCTTCGTTAGCTTTGTACACGACAAGGTTCACTTTATGATCTTCCATCTATTTCCCCTCTGTTGGTCGGTAGGAAGACAGGCCAAGAAAATCGTAGGTGAGTGCCAAATAAATTAAGTGGAACCTTAAATTTTCACCCTTGTGAAAAAAGGTAAGCTTTGGAATTCAGAGGGTTTCAGAACAACAGCATGTCAAGCTAGTAATGATATTCGAATATTAACACTAAAATCCATCCACTCGGATCATTTTGGTATTAATCTGTAGCGGGAATTCAAGAGTTATTTACTGTGGCAGTAATGTGTTCCACAGTGTTACATATAGAATACACAACTTATCTAAATTGAGGGCTATTGATACGCT